AGGATGAGGGAGAGCAGATGGATGAGGGAGAGCAGATGGATGAGGGAGAGCAGATGGATGAGGGAGAGCAGATGGGTGAGGGAAAACAGGGAGATGAGCCAGATGAAAGAAGTATGCTTTAGTCTGTTCTGTTCTCACGTTTAGAGAATGTTACAAATAAAAGTCAAATTTCATTCAACATGCGTGTATTTTTTTTTTTATATTGAAGTGTTCCACATGCGCTAAAAAGTGCCCTCCCCCCCCTCCTGAGCACCTGCCCCCCAAAATGTCTGTGCACGCCTCTGGGTAACCCAGAGCTTAGATTAAAACAATAACCTTTACATACAATGTGTTAGCGACGATGGATAGCAAAAAAAGGTACTTAAGTGGATTCCAGAAAAGAAAAAGGAAAGAAGAGCTGTTGGAAGAATGGAAAAAACATTCCAAAATAAACACGTTCTTTCAAGGAACCAAAGAGGGAGAGGTGGACGTTGCTGCTACAGTGAGTAAAGATTGCAACAAGGAGATGAATGGAGAGAGCGTGGGTGAGGAGGAAGACTCTAAAGCTCGATAAGCATCTCCCTGAAAATAGTTTTTGGAACTTGGAATGTCTGTAACATGTGGCGGTGTGCTGTCACCAATGGTTGCATTCAAGGTGCTCAGTCACTATTTTTCCGTGTGTGATGGGTGATCATATACTACTGAGAATTGTATAATTGTATCTTTTTGCCTAGTTTATAGAACTGTCGCCTGTATCCTGAACTTTTATCACGTGTTGTACTTCATATGGGGCCCACCAAGATAATTTTGCTTACAGGCCTATTGTTGTGTCGTTATGTCATTGGATTTACTGACATAATTGTACACTACTCAAAAAAATTAAAGGAATACTTTTTAATCAGAGTATAGCATCAAGTTAATTAAACTTCTGGGATATTGATTTGGTTGGGTAAGTAGCAGTGGGGGTTGTTAATCAGTATCAGCTGCTTTGGTGTTAATGAAATTAACAATAGGTGCACTAGAGGGGCAACAATAAGGCGACCATCAAAACAGGAATGGTTTTACAGGTGGAGGCCACTGACATTTTTCCTGTCCTCATCTTTTGATTCTTTTTCACCAGTTTTGCATTTGGCTAGGGTCACTGTCACTACTGTTAGCATGAGGCGCTACCTGGACCATACAGAGGTTGCACAGGCAGTCCAACTCCTCCAGCATGGCACATCAATACGTGCCATTGCAAGAAGGTTTGCTCTGTCTGCCAGCGCAATGTCAAGAGCATGGAGTAGATTCCAGGAGACAGGCAGTTACCCCAGGAGAGCTGGACAGGGCTGTAGAAGGTCTATAACCCATCAGCAGGACCGGTATCTGCTCCTTTGTGCAAGGAGGAGCAGGAGGAGCACTGCCAGATTCCTCAAAAATGACCTCCAGTAGGCCACTGGTGTGAATGTCTCTGACCAAACAATCAGAAGCAGACTTCACAAGGGTGGCATGAGAGCCTGACGTCCTCTAGTGGGCCCTGTGCTCACTGCCCGGCACCGTGGAGCTCGATTCACATTTGCCACAGTACACCGGCATTGGCAAGTCTAGCACTGGCGCCCTGTCCTTTTCACAGATGAGCGCAGGTTCACCCTGAGCATATGTGACAGACATGAAAGGGTCTGGAGAAGCCGTGGAGGACGTTATGCTGCCTGTAACATCATTTAGCATGACCAGTTTGGTGGTGGGTCAGTGATGGTCTGGGGAGGCATATCCATGGAGGGATGCACAGACATATACAGGCTAGACAACGGCACCCTGACTGCCATTAGATATTGGGATGAAATCCTTACACCTATTGTCAGACCCTATGCTGGTGAAATGGGTCCTGGGTTCCTTCTGGTGCACCTCAATGCCGGGCCTCATGTGGCGAGAGTATGCAGGCAGTTCCTGGAGGATGAAGAAAATTGAAACCATTGATTGGCCCCCATGCTCACCTGTCCTAAATCCAATAGAACACACCTGGGACATTATGTTTTGATCCATCCGACACCGCCAGTTTGCACCTCAAACTTTCCAGGAGCTCAGTGATTCCCTGGTTCAGATCTGGGAGGAGATACCCTAGGACACTATCCGTTGCCTTATCAGAAGCATGCACCGACATTGTCAAGCATGCATACATGCATGTGGGGGCCGTACAAATTACTGAACACCATTTTGATTTGCAATGAAATTTCAGCAAAATGGACAAGCCTGCTGCATCATTATTTCACCGTAATTTTTGGGGTGTCTTTGAATTCAGCCCTCTCTAGGTTGATCATTTTCATTTCCATCAAATGATGTGGCATCCTTTTGTTCATAACACATCCACCAGTCCATATCAGTATAAATAAACAGCATGATTTTTTTTCACATTGAGATCTTAAGTGTTTTGATACTGTTCCTTTAATTTGTTTGAGTAGTGTATATACCGTAAATTCTCTAATATAGGCCCGGGCCTTTATTTCACTCAAGTGCATCGCGGTCCAGGCCTTTATTGGATAGAGGCCAGTATTAGAGACAGGCCTCTATTGCTATTTGAGCAAAACAGACTACCAGTGGAATGAATAAAAATGAGATTTTGTGTCTATTTGAACCTATAAAACACTAGGTTCATTTATTGAAAAAGTACAGTTACCATGTCTCGCTTGGTTTGAAGTAAAAAAAAAATATAAAAATCCTCCAATTCTGTTTAATTCTCCTCCTCAGTTTCCTCCTCCTCTTCATCTCTCCCTTTATTCTCCTCATCACTCGCGCTGCTCCTCCTGTTCTGCTGCGTGTCTGTTCTCTTCCTCGCGCAGACGGGCAGCAGCAGGGCTTGTCGTCCAGCTGCGCAGGGCTGTGGTACTTGTATGTTACTTACTACCACAAGTATAATGTTGAGGTATGCCCAGAAAAAACGTTTATAGCCCCGGCCTGTATTAGAGACCGGCCATTATTTACCTCCTCTGACAGCGAGACCGGCCATTATTAGAGACCCGGCCGCTATTGGAATACAGGCCAATATTAGAGAATTTACGGTATAATCTATATGAATATTAGTTATCTATGAACCTTAAAGGCTGATTAATACACAGAAACCAGGTTGCATCTGGCATCTGATTGGTCAAATCTAAATCCGCTCTACACTATGCCTATTTCCTGTTAGGTACCTTACCAGCTTGTTTTGTTTGTATGATTGCCATTGTGGAATATGATTTGTTAAGATGGACCAGCTAGAAAAGCGAGGTCCTCGAGTATGCTGGGACCCTTTTTCCACCTGGATCCTTGCTCTTTTTCGCCCTCATGTCCCTCCGTTGCCACACAAACTTGCCCCCACTTCCCCACCACCTTTGCCGTATATAGACCCACAGCAATTTCGTGATTGTCCCTCTTGTTTTGTGGCGTGGAATAACATAGTGCAGACCTTCAGTATTGGGCATAAATCAAAAAATATCTGCGACAAGGTCACTGCTGTGGGGAGTATAAACAACCCTTAAGTCTCAATCTTTGTTTTTATTGCCTTAGAAGCTGTTATTTACAATAACAGGAGTCAGTTCACATTTGTGGATGCAGACATCATTTGCGCAGACCTGACAAAATGTAGTGACTCTAGAGATCGCCATTACACTCGAATGGGACTGCGTCAAGTAATAAACCTGTATACGGTCCTACACAAACTAATAAAATACAATAATATAAAATTATCTATGTAAACTAGACTTAAAAAGACAACAGCAGCCGCCTAGTTATTATGAAGACAACTGATTTAAATTGACGGTTGTTGCATGTTTTTTTTTTGTTCTCAGCTGATTTGCAGCTTTCTCCAGCCCTTGGTCCATATTTGTTTAGGTCAGAGTGCCCAAAACAGGGGAATGAGTCACCTGGACAATAGAGGTGAGGGGAGACAGCATCCCTGAGCTCAGGCAGGAGCATAGGGGAATCAGTGTGAGAACAGTGGCTAAGAGAGCTCCAGAACCGGGCCAAGCTGGCCAGCTATGGCGTTCTCTGGAGGTAAAGAGACAAAGCGGCAGATGAGGAGAGGCCTGCTGGAAAACAGTTTTGATGGCCCCGAAAAGACTACAGCTGGCCTGGGCTAACTACAGGCTAACCATGGAGGATTGAATCAAGTAGGGCAGAAGGTTGGATTAGTCTATCGGATGGGGAGAGGGGGCAGCTTGACCATTAGATGTTGCTGAAAATTACACATTGTAGCTTTAACATTAGGCCATTTGTGAATCAAAAATTTCAACAGAATTATTAAATGTAAGCCCTACCTTCTCTGTGTTTGTACTTCTTTTCTGTGGGTGTGAAATTGAAGAGATGTCACAGTTGCTTGAGAAAACATGCAGTTTGTCCTTTATGTAATTAACTTGATTACCTTCATTGGCCTGGATTTGGTAACTTCTGTGTTATCCTGAAACAGCACAAAAAAGGGAAGCATAAATCATAAATTTTTACCTGTTTGGCACAAATCAGGTAGAAATTTCCCAATTATTTATAGCAAGTTGCACAATGACATTTTAAAAAAATATGTAATTTATTAAGCAATCATCATCTGAGTTTTGTTATTTTCACGTCCGGTAGAAGGAAGGACTACAGACCCTATAAAAGTATTTCAAACCGTTTTGCTGGTTTTCTATTGCGTTTGGTATTCATAAGGCATTGAGTTAATATCTGGATAAGGTGGGGATGGAACAGGTCCACTGCCCCTGGCCGGGATCGTAGACAGAAGCCAGAGATCCATGTGCAGCTGAAAACTAACAGCCAAAGCAGAGAAAAACCAAGCCTGTTGAGTTATTTGGTAAATAAAGACAGCTTAACCTGTCAGGCTGTTGTTACTTTGAAGTTTTTTCTTAATTTAAAGACATCATCAAAAGTAGATTGTCTTATTATTATGTCCAAATAAATATTAAGATCACAAGCATTTTTCTGATGGCATTTCTTGCATGATTAGAGAACCTATAAACAGATTTGGTTTAAATATCAGGAGGGACATTTGGTAATGATGAGGGTCGAGCACTGGTGCTCCAACCAACTGAGCTATGAACCAAAATCATGAGAAAATATTTCTGGACACAAAATAAATCACCAGATAGTGAACAAAGGATAGTTTGTTTTTAGTTTGTCACACTGACAGCTGAAAATGAATAAAAACAGGATGATCAAACCCATCCCTGCTGGATTAATTTCCCAAATAAAAGAATAAGAGGGAGAGTCTTCTCTGTGGACATCAAGATAGAACAAGCACAGCAAGCAGTATTTAAAAGCACTATGGGTATGGCATTTTCTACAATGAAAGCAATATCATCCCTGTGACTCAGAACTTGCCCCACATGTTTTTTTGTTTAAGCTTATCATATAACTTAAAGGTACAGTGTGTAATAATTACATGGATTTACTCAATGGCGTAAATATCGGTAAGCAGAGACAGCAGTTGCTTACAGGCCCGTAACACCTGGTGGGCCCCCTACACAATGGTAGATTAGGACATCTCTTTGTACATGAAAAATTCCTCTTAAACACCTTATACTGAAGTGACCATCCACGTCGGACCATATTCAACACATGACAGATTTCAACATGATGGTGAGCTGTTTAAACACAACACAAACAGCAAAGACAGACAGTGGTACTTTTAATTACTATGTTAATAACTACATTCAGTTCATTAGACGGTTGGGGTGGGATGTAGAGACACACTCAGTCCATTAGACACTGCTCTGTCAGAAATATCTGACATCTACCTCCTCCATATGAGCCACATGAAGGTAATGCATGCACAATCTTGTATGCAACTGAATATTTGATAGTGATACGTCAAGTTGGGTTTTTCCATAACCTGCATTTCAATGTTTATAATAACAGTAGTGAATATGTGCCTCGGACACGTGACCTTCTCTGCCTATGGTGCCTCTTAGCACTGGTGTACCGGCCGGGCCCTGCGGAGATGCCGCCAAAAATGAGCCACTAGCCACCTGGGCATCCAACCCCAAACCCCGAGCTCCACCAGTGCACCGGCAAGCCCAGGCGCCAGCCAGCGGAGGGAGAGCACGACGGGGGGAATGGCCTCAGTACTTGGCGGAGACTTGAGATGATCTTGGGAGAGGGAGCAGTTCAAACCCCAACCTGAGAGAGAAAAAAGCAAAGAAAAAAACTCACAGTCTCAATCACGCCTTCCCACCCCAGTGCCCCCACTCACACCACACAGAAAAGAAACAAAAAATAGGTGGACGCACATTCACACATAACACTCACATCCGGGATTATCGGGTGATCCAATAAGTGAACCTAAAATCCAGATAGAAGGAGGGGAGCGGTTCCTGCTTCGAGCCCGGCCCCGCAGCTGGACCAGACCACCCCCAGCAAATGCTCCCCCGGGATTGGGGCTGACACAGGCCACCCAACCAGAGTCCCCCACCCCCCCTAACTAATTCACCCAGCCACTACACACCCCTCCCTCCAACCTTCTTTGGTGAGAGCAAAAGTGACTGCCCCACCACCGGCAGGCCAACCAGGCCTCGCAGCAGCCCCCTGCCAAGACCACAGACCAGGCAGCTCGCTCTTCCTCCAGGTCCTATACTCCGGGCGGCAGCCGGGGAACAGGGGCATGAGAAGACCCCGATCCTCCCTGCGCCTGCTCGAATGTGGTGTTGTTGCGTGTTACTCTAAGGTGTAATTAAAACTGGGAGTACCCAAAGGGGGTGTCCAGCACAGTCCACCCCCCCCCCCTCTAGGAGACAGGCGGTGCCAGCGCACCCCCAATCGTCAACCCAGAACCCTCAATGTGTAAATGCGATAGGGGATGGGGGAGCAGACCGTGGTGAAGCACATGAAATAAGCCCCCCCGGTGCCCTTGACCCCAACTTCCCCAGACAATGTCCTACATAGATGTGTGTTGTCTAAAATGCAAAATAAAATTGGGGTGGGGGACGAAGGTAGAGCCCTCCAGTAACGGCCCCCTCCCCAAAAACCTACATGTGTGGCAGTGTGATGGAGCACTGGGAATGCTTACTGCACTCCCAGGGAGACAGCTCCCCCACTGACTTCAATAGGCACCCCCGTTCCCTGAGAGCCCCACCAGGGACTAGGCTGGGCCCACAAGTCAGCCGGCCACAGGGCCGACTCCAAAGCCCCCCATCCTGTCCATCCAACAAAAAGAAAAGGGGGGGAGACAACTCTGGACGAACCCCCCACCAGGGGACGGCACGGACCAGGACCGAGACAGGGAGCCGGACCCGAAGCCCTTCTAATATCCTCATCCCTCCACCACTACCCCCCATCCCCACCCCCACCGGAGTTGTGATCCCTCCCCTACATTAACATTCATACCACTCCCCACACAAGCAAGAAAAGACATCCAGGCCGAGATCATTCCCACTCCCCCTCCCTCCCCTTCCTCAACTAGCAGAGTGCAAGCCCCTGAAGGGGTAGGCATCTGCCATAAGGTGTTAATGTCCATGCCCCCCCCAGCCCAACAGGCCCAGAGGCCCCCCAGCACACCAGAGGCCGCGGCAGGGCCGGACAGTCGGGCGTACACCGGCCCAGACCCCAAGCAGCATTCCCCACAGAACCTGAACCCCCAACGCTGTACTGTACTGATTGATGCTGAGTTTATCCTTACTTTTCCAATTCATGAGGATAGTTTTCTTTGCGATACATACTTGTTTTTTGCTCGCAAAGCAAAAATTATTTTAAAATTATGTGTACATCTTGGAGGTACAAGAGCGCTTTGTTGCAGGTACCAGTGCTGCATGCAGCGAGAAGGGGGAGGAGGATGAGGATGAAGAAGAGGAGACTGTTGTGTCTTCCAGAGCTGAGATGAGGAATGCAGTTTGAATTTTAAAGACTGGTCTCCTGCATGTTGGTTTAAAAAACTTTGACCTTTTACATGGTTTTGAAAAAGAAGTGAACTCGGTGTTGGACAACGCTCTAATCCAGGGAACCATGTATAAAGATGTTAAGTGATTTCTTAATGCGGCGTAGCAGATCCGCAACACAAAACAAACATAGGCTCGCTTTAATTTTCTGTAGCCTATGCAGTTATCTTCTATGTTGTTGTTCTATGAAACCGTTTGTCTCAAACTATATTTTCAGACGTTAAAAAAATGCACCGGCTGCACAGCAGAGCCAACACACAGAACAAGTTACATAGGCCTACTGTAGACTATCAGAGTTATGTCTGCACACTCAGCAGTACTATGCTGTGATGAAGCATTTGTTTCCAACTTTATTTCAGACTTGTTAAACAATGCGCCGATGCACAGCACATAAAAGTACGTAGGCTACCAGAGTTATGTCTGCACACAGCGCAGTATACTGTAATTAAACTTGCATGGTACTGTTATAAAATTCAGTAAATGCAGAAGCTATCCGTTTCATTTAATTTTTATCACTGAAAAACCATACAAATGGCATTTAGATGATATTCTGCATAACAAATAAGTGAAATAACATTAAATTTGGTTTTAGTAATCAACCGCTTATAGTTTTTAAATTGGCTCTGGACCAACGAGACCATAAGCAGATTCCACTGTATTTCCATTTTGTGTCATTTTCTAATTGTTTTTGGTTGTATAAGAGTTCCACACTTGTTCCTTAACTGCTAATTAGTCCTCCCATTGTGTCTGTCTCCCATACACAATAAGAATTTGAAGACCCTGCTATTTTCAAGTTCACCCACTTAGCAATCATGGATGGGTCTGAAATTGTCATTGTAGTTGCATTTCCACTGTGAGACGCATAATCTAAAAAAAATAAAATCCAGAAATCACAATATATGAAATTTTTACTACTTATTTGTATGATGTAGCTGCAAATAAGTATGTGAACACCTATCACCTAGAATTCTGACCCTCAACGACCTGTTAGTCTGCCTTCGAAATGTCCACTTCAACTCCATTTATTGTCTAAAATTTGATGCACATGTTTGAGGTTGTTAGTTGCATTAAGACACCTGTCCACCTATAGCATCAATAATAATGCAACTGCTAACATAGCTAAGACCAAAGAGCTGTCCAAAGACACTTCATATAAAATTCTACACCATATATGAAGAAGTTTACGAGAACACTGTTTTTACTAAAGCTGAAAAACAAAGCAGTGAATGTTTTCTATCATACAGAGCATGTGACACTTGTGAAATAAGTAAATGTTTGGCTCCAGTTTCAGACAAAGAGCTTATTGTAGGAGAGACACAAGATTCCTGTTTTGTTAAAGTCCAACTAGCTTGAAAGGAAAGTGCCATTATAGACAGGATAATATTGTAGATTTTCGATTGTCAAATCTGATGGGCTGCCATAGACCATGCAGTCTGAGGAAATTCAAGCAAAGAAAGGGCTTTTGAACATGTCCTTTATGCAACAAGGTAAACAATTACTGAAAACAGGCCTGTTATAAAATCTAGCGTGTAACCAATGTTGGTAGGACAGCATGGGAGTATAACCTACAGGGTTTTAAACAACAACAGCAGATGCTGAACACAGCACTCCATTTTTGGAAAAGCAAGCAACACTCTTTGTTTTTAATGCACTTTCTGTTATGTTTATTCAACTTAACAAACTTTTAAACCAACTTCTAGAGATTTACATTTGCAATTGTTAGAGCATTTCTTACAATAAAGTAGTCCAAGTAGTCTGTTACACGCTAAAATCAAGAATTTAGTGTACTGGCAGGGATAGAAACCCACAGCGGTGAGATGAAATTCTTGGCTAAGTCATCCAGTTACTTTAAAGTCATTTGTTTTGTTTAGTTGGTTTCCTACATTCTCCGACAGAGCAATTTCAAGGTTTGTTGAAGAATCTAAACCTATAGATGTACACATGTAGTGGTTATGCAATCAGTCATTCTTGTTTCCTTTATGTTCTTAAAGCAGGCATAGTAAAATGAAAGTTAGTACTGCTGCTGGAGCCACTAATACAGAACAGATCCTTTTTACATGCACAAAGAAGAGAAAGAACAGCTTTTAAAACAAGTATAGATTTTCTAGCTTTTTTTTTTCTACGCACAATTAAAAATCTTAGCAAAAGAGTAATTAAATGCACATAAAGACTAGAAAAGTTGCTTTAAGTTAATACCTGTTTCAGAACATCACTCCTGGAAGCAATCATAGCCCCCTGGACCTGAGCAGGGGGACCAATAGAAGCACAAGCCCACAGCAGCACGATCCACATCGTAGGAAGAAATAGGAGACAAGGGGCCCTATGCATTAACATGCTGGAACAACTGTGTAGAGAATTCAAAGCATGTGGGATCATCCTGTAAAAGCTCATCCGCCCACACTGTGATCTACAGGAAGAGGGAGGCCCTATGGAAGGCCGTTTTGACATTTATTAGCTTGACTGAATATGTAATTCAGATGTCTTAAATGCATGTCTTCCTAGTCACAAATGAACATTTCAGATATCTAAAATAGCATTCCTCCTATCTAAAATTGAAATAAAATTTATGGCCTGATAAAAATTATGACCAGTAACAACTTAACTACTGTTGTGGGAAAATGTATATCTTTCTTCTATTATATATTAATATTCATATTTACTCACTATAAAAGTTTTCACTCAGTCTGTTTCTCTCTCAAGGCCACACCATTCCCTGCAGAATGTTGCTTGTAGACCAGACATAGCTTCTTCCCATAACAATCCAGATTCTTTCTCAAGGTTTATTCATAACATGTTACTGTTAACCAAAGTGTGTGTAATTTGTTATGACTCTGACTGCTTTCCATTGTTGTAAGTAGGGGGGGATGAACCCTGCCCAGATCAGAACAGAGCAGAATGCTATGCCATGAAGGCTGTAAGATGAGCTGTTCTCTCTTTGCAAAGATGATTAATAAACTGTGCCGACTGAGTGAAATCCATCGATCTCCGTTTATTTAACTAGGATGAATAGTTGAATACTTTTTTCCCACGACACTACACAGATCTGAAATTCATTTTTAGACACCCAGAATGTTTATTTTAGATAGGACTAATGTCATTTTGGATATCTGAAACTAACAGTCCAATACACATGAATGGGGAAAAGTGACGTCATTTGTACTAGTAAGAATTACATTTCAGAAATCTGAAATTTCATTTTAGATAGGAGGAATACTATTAAAGATATCTGAAATACATATCTGGTCAAGTAACGGCCACTTAAAAAAAGGAAAGATTTGTAGATATCTGAAATGTAGTTCTTACTAGTACAAATTTTAATCCACAGTATCCACAGAATAATTTCTTCCTGTACAAATGTAAATAGTGGTATCTAAAATAAAATTCTGACTAGGAACATTGTAATTGTTAATCGGTAGAATGCTTTAGCGCTATCTCTAATAGAAATGTGACTAGTCAGCCTGCTTTATGTTAAATTGGAACCTCATTATTCTTTTGCAAGTAACTGCATTTTGAATATGCATTGTTAAAATTTCGATATCTGAAACTCCAAGTTAACTTGTCACATATATATTTGATATCTGTAATTATATTTCTATTAATATAAATATAATTTTGATGTCAAGAATTGTATTTCTGGATGTCTATAATGTTATATTCATTTTTAATATCTGAAATAGTAATTATGACTAGCAGTAACTCTATTATTGAGATCTCAAATTTGAGTCCATTCTCATCAGAATTCAGTTTTAGATAGAAGGAAAGTTCATTTTAGATAGGAAGAATGTTATTTGAGATATCTGGATATGGGGCCAAAATTGTTGCTTTATTATTTGCAAATGTGTGTGGAGAGTTGTGTATCTGTATCTCGGTTTGTGTGTGTGCAGTGGGATTTGAAAATGTGTGAGGAGATTTGTGTGTAAAACAATCTGCAAATGTGTAAAACTACTGTGTGTGTAATCCTGTTTGCAAATGTGTAAAAAACCCTGATTTCAACTGTGAAAATTATAAATCAGCCACAAAATTGATTCAGAACCATACTGAACAGGCTGCATCTACCCTGTCTCTCAATGCAGAAACCAACAAACCATGTGTAAACACTTCCATGACTGTACCCGTATGGGTTTCTTCAGAGCAACATCCAAGTAATGAAAAGCTTATTTAGGTACTCTTAGACACTCAGAGTGACACAGTATTCATTGATCAAGATGTGTCTAATAATATCAAGGCTAAGTCCAATAAGGTTAAAGCTCACAACCAGGGGCGTCTCTAGGTTTAAGAGACAAGGGTGGCTCAGCCCCGAATTGGCTGAGCCACCGAATTTTTTCAGTGCACCTGCTAAGGCGTTGTCTAAGACAAGGGTGTAACTTTGTGTTGAAAGTTGGTGGGGACGGCTCATAAGGAAAGGGAGGTCCCTGCGCGATGCCTTTTTTTTTTGTTGGAAAGGATAAAGCCAAAAAAATGCGAATAACATTTATCAATTTAATGCTTACAG